CTAAATAATCACAAAAGAAAGGAACTAAACATGAAATCAGAAGATTATACAGGTAAGGTGATTGCCTGAGGAAAAATCAAATCTGTTCTTGTTTCGTTTTACATTGAAAGGGATTTAAATCAGGCAAATCTTTAGAGACTTATGCTGAAATCGAATTCAAAGAAAAACTCTATGAATCATGATTAGCTTATTTTTACCAAAAAACATTTGAATCATTATAATGTAATAATTAAAATACAATGCTGTCAGTTTGCTTATCTAGAGAATTAGAGGACTCTAGAATAAAATGTAGGAAGATAACAATGTGAGAAATACAGACTTACTACCTCATTACTTTAAAAAAAAATAGATTATATAGCTAGTGTTTGTTTGTTACATTTATATAGTCTCTGGATTTTTCTAATAATTGATCCTTATACTTAAATACCATACTTTTACTTTCCACTATATTAAATTATTGAATGATTGAAATATATATATATTTCACTGTAGAATGTTATTGTTAGTTGCAAGTCTTAGAGATTCTATGTACAAGAGAATGAAAGAGAATTACCCAGTCCTTAACCATTCTCACAATTGTTATGTTTGAGGCCATTGTTACAGCTACTGTGCCAATCCATCTCATGGAAGATTTCCTCTTTATCACTGACCCTCTATTTTACCAAGCATGATGTCCTTCGCCAGGGACTAGTCGTTTCTAACAACATGTCCAAAGTATGAGAGATGAAGTCTTGCCATCTTTTCTTCAAAGGAGCATTCTGATTACACCTCTTCCAAGACAGATTTGTTTGTTCTTCTGGCAATCCATGGTAATTTTAATATTCTCCTCCAACATCATAATTTAAATGCGTCAATTCTTCTATGATCTTCCTTATTCATTGTCCAACTTTAACACGTATGTGAAATGATTGAAAATACCATGGCTTGGACTAGGTGAGCCTTAGTCCTCAAACTCACCTCTTTGCTTTCTAATAGTTGAAAGAACCTTTGTAGCAGGTTTACCTGATGCAATACATCATTTAATTTTTTGGCTGCTGCTTTCATGAGTGTTGGTTACGGGCCTAAGCAAATTGAATTCTTTGACAATTTATATCTTTTCCCCAATTATCATGATGTTCTTTAATGACCCAGTTGTGAGAATTTTGTTTTCTTAACATTGTGGTACAATTCATGCTAAGGGCTGTATGTAGGCTTTGGTTTTCATGAGTAAATATTTTAAATCCTCTTCCCTTCCAGAAAGCCTGGTTGTATTATCTGCATACCAATGGTTGTTAATGTATTTTCCTCCAGTCCTGATGTAACATTCTTTTTCAGATTAGATAATTTCCATTCAGATTAGATAATTTTCATCACCATGGCATATTTTCAAACTACTGATCCTTCCTCATTGTTTTCAATCTTCCAATCACCAGTAATGATCACAACATCTTATTAAATGACTGATCAATTTCATACTAAACAGGTGGGTAGAATTCTTGAATTTCATCATCACTGGCTTTAGTGGTTGGTGCATCAATTTGAAGGTTAGTGGTATTGACAGGTCTTCCTTATAGGCATATGGATATTATTCTATCACAGACTACAATGTACTTCAAGATGGATGTTGAACAGCAAAGCTGTTCCCCTTCAGTTTTTGATTCCTGGCATAATAATTTATATGATTATCAGATTCAAAATGGACAATACCAGTCATTTTCTGCTCAATGGTGCCCAGGATGTCAATTTTTATGTGTTGCATTTTATTTTTGACAAATCCAATTAGCTTAAATTCGTAAATTGTACATTCTATGTTCCAATTTTTAATGGATGTTTCTGCTAATTTTGAGTTGTACTTATCAGCAAATAAAGGTCTTGAAAGCTTTACTCAATTTTGACTTTTTGGTAGTTCCCTGTGAATGTACTGTTGTAAGCATTTTTTAATTTTCTTTAGCAAAATTTTACTTGTATATGATAATAGTTATATTGCTCCATGATTTCCACATTCTCCTGGTTCATGTTAGTTTGGAATGGGCACAAATAACAAATAGAGTTTCTGCTATTCATTTAGCCATGTAATGTTCCTCCAAATTTCATGGCATAGACAGGTGAGTATCTCATGGTTTCTATCTGTTGAAAACATTATATTTGCATTCCCTCTATTGCTAGAGTCTCATTTTCAATGTCTTTAGTGAAGCTTGAACCAAGTCCTTCTGTGCCTTAAGTTTTTGATAACATACTACATTTTGAAGTGGTTGACATGGGCTATTTATTTTTGGTACTGTGATTCTGCATATTCATTACTTTCATCTACCTTTGATGCTGAATGTTTTATCCAATATTTTACCCATATTATTGTTCTAGTTGTTAAGTGCTGTTGAGTCAATTATGATTCATAGCAACCCTGTATATTATTTACATGGAATAGAAGGAGGGTTTGAACCACTGGCTTTGAGGTTAACAGTCCAGTGCTTATCATACAATGCCACACCAGGACTCCATAGACTCCTTCAATATTGCAACAGATTGAGAAATGCTGAGCATGTTTTTCCCTTTCGGTTTACTAACTCCAAGTCTTTGCACATTTCATTATAATTGCCTTTCTATTCTCTTGCTGCCCTTTGAAATTTTCTTTTCAACTCTTTTATTTCCATAATTCCTTCATTTGCTTTAGTTTCTGTAAGTTCAAAAGAAAGTTTCAGAATCTCTTCTGACATATATTTTTGTTTTTTCTTTCTTTCCTGTCTTTTTAATGAACTTTTATTTTCTTCCTGTATGATGGTCTTGATGTCATCCCACAACTCTTATGGTAATTGGTCAATAGTGTACAATGCAGCAAATCTGTTCTTGAAATAGTCTCTAAATTCAATTAAGATATATTCAAGGTCATATTTTGGCTTTTGCATACTTGTTACAATTTTCTTCAGCTTCAGCCTGAACTTATATAAGAGGAATTAATGATCTGTTCGACAGTCTGTCCTTGGCCTTGTTTTGGCTGCTGATGTTGAGCTTTTCCACCATCTCTTCCCATAGATATGGTCCATCTGCTTCCTGTGTATTCTAGTTGTTGAAGTCTGGGTGTGGTGCTGCAGGTTAATGACAGGACTGCACAGTTAGTTTGAATCACAAGGTTGGTGGTTTAAACTCAGCAATCACTCCTTGGAAATTTTTTACAGGATCATTTTGAATCTGAACCGACTCTACAGCACTTAATAACAACAGCATGTGTATAGTTTATTTGTTACATTATACCTTTTTAAATATTATATTATATATGTGACTATATATAATTATGTAACATATTATAACCATTTATATTATACATGTGAGGTATTTGCAAGAATAAGTCATTGACTTTCTTTTTGTTATTTATACTGGTATTTCATGCTATGGTTTAATTTCTTAATTCACTTAATTTTTATTTACCTGTCCACATTTCCTGCTTTCAGACTGACTTGATTTTGATGGTTTCTCTCTAAGTTTCTTTTAGGAATAATTTACCTATTGGTAACTGTATTTAAAAATTACTCTACATTTCTAGTCTTTCTTTTGCATGGGTTGCCAAGAACTTGGAATTTATACTGGATCCTTGGCTTGATGAGGGAAATGAGGCTTCATTGAGCATTATGGAAATGTACTGTCCTGTCCTCTGTTTATATTGCTGGCCCTAACACTGGCATCACTTTCTCTTCTAGGATGTTTATCCAACATATTTAGGGCAGAGACTACACATGTTGAATAAACTGACAGATTTTTGCCTAGTAGTATAAAGTGTAGACAAACTGCTATTTGACATGGTGTAAATCAAAGAGTACAGAATTCTTTGGGGGAAATGTTGGAGAGATGGAAACACTGCCTTCAGAAGTATGTAGATAGAGATAATAAAACAATAGCTTTACATTTTTACATTTACTAGAGATTTTTATGATATTCTAACAATACTTTTTGCATTTTTGCGTGTGGTTGTTGTTAAGTGCCGCCAGTTCCGATCCATAGTGACCTTGTAGACGGTTTTCAATGAGTAGCTGGTGAGCTTGAACCACTAACCAGAAGTTCAAACTGACTTTGCAGTTCAGCACATTAACCCACAGTGCCACACCAGGACTCCTGTTTTGTATGTATATACATGTCAATTCCTAAGGATTCTCTACCAGGTTTTTGCGAAGTGTCTGGTGGATTTGAACTTCCAACCTTTGGTTAGCAGTTCAGTGCTCATCTATGGAGTGCTGGTGTGGTGCTATAGGATAAACATTGGACTGCTTCCCCAAAGGTCGGAGTTTCATATCTATAAGTCACTTTTCAGGATCCCTAAACAGGGTTGCTATGAGGAATACTGACTCCACAGTACTTAACAGCAACAATGAATATTGAAAGTACCACAGACAGCCAGAAGAGCAAAGAAATCTGTGTTGGAAGAAGTACAACCAGGATGCTCCTAGAAACCAGGATGGCGAGGCTTCGTCTCTCATTCTTTGTGAATATTGTCAGGAAGACAGTCCCTAGGAAAGGACATTATGCTGGGTGAAGTGGAGGATCAGTAAAAAAGTGGAAGACCCTCAATGATCTAGATTGGCACAGTGGCAACTGCAATGGTTAAGTGTAGCAATGATTATGAGGAAGGACCAGGAGCAGGCAGTATTTTGTTCTGTTGTGCATTAGGATATCTATGAATCAGAACCACCTCGATGAGGGCACCTACCAACAACAACACACACACAAAAGAACAAATCACAGAGCAAGAGTGCTGGTGGCACAAAGGGTTAAGTGCTTGGTTTTAACAAAAAATTCTTTTTTTTGTTACTTAACTGACTTCTAATTAAACACGGGACTGATACTACAAAACACACAAGGGAATACAGGCCAGAAAAACTTAATTTTTAGGAAAATGAAGTATCAATGTTTTTAATGTTGTTTGGGGAAACTAGACATTTATATAGTGTTATTTGAATTGGAAAGTCTTGTTTTGTTTTCTACATAGAATCCATATCTAGGAAGCTGCTTTGAATTGGAGATTTCAGTTTTCCATGCCTGAGTTTAATACCACAACATTTCAACCTGCTGTTTTCATCCTAACTGGCCTCCGAGGGTTGGCAGGTGCCCGCCTGTGGCTGGGACCACTTCTAAGTTTGATGTACATCACTACGATGGTGGGGAACTGCACGGTGTTATACTTGGTGAAGACAGAGCGTAGTCTACAGCAGCCCCAGTACTTTTTTTTGTCCATGCTGGCAGGAGCTGACATTATTCTTTCTGTCTCCACACTTTTCTCTGTGCTCAAGGTCTTTCTCTTTGGCCTTTATGAAATTGCATTCGATGGCTGCCTCAGTCAACTTTTCTTTATTCATACATTCTCTTCCATGGGCTCAGGAATCCTGCTGGCCATGGCTTTTGACCGTTTTGTGGCTATCAGTTACCCCCTACAATATACCACGATTCTCACTAATTCACGAATTACCAAAATGGGACTCACAGCTTTGCTGAGGGGTATAGCACTCATGATTCCATTACCCATCTTGCTCAAGAGACTTCCTTTCTGCAAGGGCCAAACACTTTCTTATTCCTACTGCCTCCACCCAAATGTCATGAAGTTAGCTTGCGGCCAAGTAAAAATCAATATTTTCTATGGGCTGGTTCTAGTTATCTGTTCCTTTGGGTTTGACTTCTTATTTATAGCCATATCGTATATGCTGATATTCAAAGCAGTAATGGGCATTGCCTCCAGAGAAGGCCAGATGAAAGCACTCAATACCTGTTTTTCCCATATTTTTATTGTCCTTATTTACTATGTACCTCTCCTAGCAATAACTGTGATGCATCGATTCAGCCATGGAATTCCTCCAATAACACATGCTGTCCTGGGAAACATATATATCTTCATGCCCCCAATGCTCAATCCAATTGTGTACAGCCTGAAGACTAAGCAAATCCGTGCTGCCCTGAGAAAATCTTTTAAGATCCAGTGAAGGTGAAGAAATAGATTACTAAATGGCAGTTGGTGGTGGGGGGCAGGGAGGGAAGTCATAATTCTATAGTTTATTGGAAAAAACTCATATTTTTTCTTTTTAGAAGAAGGGATTAAGTATATTAGATAATATGTTGTAATTTATAATTCTTAAGAATGAAGATAATAATTGTTATACTTTTAATATACTTTCTTCTTCAATTTGTCACATATAGTTTGAGATTACTTGAGATGGGGATAATAGATGCAGGAAATAAATTTTTTAGAAAAGGTTAGCATTATGGGAAAATATCTTTGTATTACTGAACTTAGTTTATTGTTAGAAACTGCAGAAATTTCAAGAAATGTGCAGGAATTCAATTACTTTACCATCACATTATTTACTCATTTATTTCCCTATTTATAAAACATATTTATTTTATCAAAAATTGTTTATATTTCCCCCTGTATTGAAATATTCATAAGTGTATAGATATTTATATCTTGTCTCCTATTTTAATCATAACAAATAACAGTGTCTTCTGTACTATATTTTAAATAAATGAATTGATTTTCATTTGATGCAATTTATCTAATATAGTTTCATTTTAAGAACTATTTAAAATTCACTAGCTCCAGAAGATATATAACATAGACTTCACCTTCAAATGCTGAAGCTTCCTCAAATACATTTCACTCTTACAATAAAGTCTATATTTTGCCCCCAAATGTGTCGTCTGTTTAACTTTTCTAAGTATATGTTAATTTTCTGACACCATTCATTATTGTGTAAAAGCAACACTAGTGCTAATAGTCACTACAAGTTTCCTCTGCAGATGATATAACCTTGCTTTCTGAATGCAAAGAGAACTTAAAATATTTACTAATGAATTCAAAGACCAGTCTTTGGTATGGGTTGTACCTCAATGTAAAGAAAAAAAAAATCCTCACCGCTGTACCAATAAATAACATCAAAATATATGGAGAAGAGATGGATGTTGTCAAAGACTTCATTTTGCTCAGATCAACCATCAGCAGTCATGGAAGTAGCCATCAAGATATCAAACCATGTACTGCCTTAGGAAAATCTGCTGCACAGGACCTCTTTAAAGAGTATAAGAGCAAATAAGTCAGTTTGAAGACTAAGGTGTGCCGGACCCAAGCCTTGGTATTTTCATATGCATGTGAAAGTAGGACAGTTTCATATGTTAAACCTCATATTCACATGAAAGTTGAACAGTGAATAAAGAAGATCTCAGGATAATTGTTCCAATTGTGTTATGGTGGTGGAGGAGCATATTTAAAGTACCATAGACTGCCCAAAGTACAAACACATCTGTGTTGGAAGAAGTACAGCCATAGTGTTCCTTAGAAGCCAGGATGGCCAGACTTCATCTCTAATATTTCAGACGTATGGTCAGTAGGGACCAGTCCCTGGAAAAGGACCTCATGCTTGGTATAGTGGAAGGTCAGTGAAAAAGAACAAGACCCTCAAAGAGATGGATTGGAATAATGGTAACAGCAATGGGCTACAGGGTAGCAAGGATTGTGATATAGGTACAGGATTAGTCAGAGTTTCGTTCTGTTGTATATAAGGTTGCTATGAGTTGGTATCCGTTTGAAGGCATCTAAGAACAAAAACAACAATAATAGAATGTACTATATTTGACTGTTATTGTTGTCGACTCTGTCCTGACTAATATTGGCCCTATAAAAGGTTTCTGAGGAGCAGCTAGTGAGTTTGAACCACTGACCTTATGTTCAAATTGATCTTTTGGTCAAATTCTTATCCTACAATGCTCTATATTTGGTAGAAAAAGCATCAATTCAAAGCTATAATAAAGGAAAGACACTATGTATCTCACATTTAACATTAATTTTCTACTTTTCTTCAAATAATTTTTCACTAGATCATTACTTCACCCATATTAAGTATGGAGCTATGTTTTATTCTTCTCTTATAACACACCTCAATTCCACCCCCAAATCCCCAAACTACTAATAATTATAAGGATTAATACATTTCAAACATCACATGGCTATGATTCAACAGGTATTGGAATTTAATTTTTCTCTTCCTTACTATTGAGCTCTCAATTTGTTATATTAAACAGAACATACACACGATAAACATTTAGTAAAGGGTTACGAATTTGGCTGTGAACCACAAGGTCAGCAGTTCGAAACTGCCAGCTGTTCCGTGGGAGAAAGATGAGGCGTTCTGCTCCCGTAAAGATTTACAGCCTCAGATACCCTGTACAGGGTCGCTATGAGTCGGAACCTACTCCACGGCATATCACAACAACACAACAACAATTGGATAAGTACATGGAGTCAGCAAAAAATCAAGGAAAAAGTAGAATTTGGCTCAGAAATTAGGAGATGAATAAACCTTTTCTGAGGAGAGAAATGTGGAACACATTTAAATTGATGAAATCATAAGAGCAAAGGCAAAGAGAAAATAATATGATTTATCAGGGGAAAGACTGAGAATGTTGACCTGAATGGAATGGAGAGTTTTAAAATAGAGAAAAGGTAAAATAAAATAAAAAGGTAGTATGAAGTTCTGTTAAAAATTATGAACAGAAGTTCAGAGATAATACATAATCAAAAGGGAACAAGGAATGTGAATTAATGAAGATTCTGTAAGTATTTAAATGAAAGGGAGCTTAGTTATGTTCACGACAAACTCTAATGCTATTCTTACAGTGATTAGGATGTCAAGTTATGTTGTTGTTGTTGTTGTTATGTGCCATTGAGTCGGTTCCGACCCATAGCGACCCTGTATAGGGTTTCCGAGGGTATAAATCTTTACGGGAGTAGAAAGCCTCATCTTTCTCCCGCGGTGCAGCTGGTAGTTTCGAACCGCTGACCTTAAGGTTCACAGCCCAATTCGTAACCACTACGCTACCAGAGCTCCTTATTTAAATGAAAGAGAGCTTAGTTATGTTCACGACAAACTCTAATGCTATTCTTACAGTGATTAGGATGTCAAGTTATAAGACTCTAAATAAGAGTATTGGATGTATTCACCGATGGGGGGAAGTGGGGTAAAAGCAGCAATGAAGCGGCAAGCTAAGCCCTACAATGTTCAGTGGACTACTGTGGACCCAGTTGGGGACCTGGTTGGCAAGCAATGTGAGGAGACCTGGGGACTCTTGGGCTCAGAGTCAGTGGCATGGCCACGGAGGACTCGAGAGGAGAGTGGAGCTACCGGCTGACGGGAAGAGAGGGCATGTGCACAGGAGCCCACACTTGCAGATGATACCCACGTGACCTGGACCGTATGACTGGATGATCAGAGCTCAACCAGGAGAAGAAAGAAGAGGGGGACA